TCCAGACTGCTGAGTCATGCTGACTTGCATACCATAGAACTTTCCAGAACATTTTATCAAGTCACGTATTTATTATGTAATACTACTAAAATAGCTCTCATGTTAGCTTTTGGAATGTTCCAGAACACTTTGTGAATATATAATTATGTATATAAAGATTCGCTTATGTAGTAGCATCACATTACATCACATCACATCACCTTTATTTCACCTCGGATTTACAAGAGTAGCAGTATAACTAATTTAAAAAAAAATTAAATTGTATATTATATACAATACATTAACTACTATCTACAGTGGTTGTTATCGTCGGAGCGACGATTGTTTTGAAAGCTATACCGAGAGAGAGTTACTGCGAAAGATTTCTCATTTCAAGGAACTTTGGAGACAGCCGTGAGATTGTGTCAGTGGTGAGCTAAGATATAGACTGTGGTGGGCTTAATTAAGTTTATTGACGATAAATATTGTACTGCTTTTAGAAGTCGCTCCTTGTTAAGAACATTACTTGCTGTTTAATAAAGTAGTTGTGTTTTTAGAATTGTAGCGTTTTTCAGTCGGTAAGATTATACCGTAACAGGTTCAAATAATCGCATAGAGATCCTTTTGTCCTTTGGAAGGACGAAAATCGTATGCCTCTTCGTTTTCACCAGGCCATACATTCTACAGCTTTTTTTGACAAGGTTGAAAAGGGTAACAGATTTCAGTGAATCACGTTACAACGTGATTTTTGTTTTAAAGGGTATATTCTTACTGTGATGTTGCCCCAGGAAAACTTTAGGAAAGTTTTGGAATAAACTCGAAGAAAAGACTGTTCAGCTATTTTAACTATTTAGGAAAAACTCCAAGCAATACGAGGGTATTCATCAGGACTGGTAAACATTCGGACTCCTGGCAGAGTGGAAAACGCATTTAATTGACATTCCCAGCCAAGTTACTTGAATTCGAGACCAATAAGGAATGAAGTTATCAAATCGGTATTTTTTCTATGTGTCAAATAAAAAACCAGAACACGCCATCAAACTTTCTTTCCCAACACTCGAAAATAAACAAGTTATTGTTGGTTTTCTTAAAGGCGAAATAACTCCATTATTGACCAAGATCGTTCAGTTTAGATGGCTAGATATCAGCCTTGGTTTCTTTTTTCCGTCTTTATGTACCTCAACTTAGCGTTTTTAATTTATGAAATGAAAACTGGTGATTTAAAAGATTCACAATTAAGCAGCGTTTTTGACAATTCTAATATCGAGTGTGATGGCAAGTTGTAATGTTTAGCAATTTGATTGTTTGATCATTATTACTGATTACTATTTAGTTACGAGATACAAGTAATTTGCTAATTTTCGCTCATGAATTGAAGATCTTCATATTTCCTTTTTACTGTCTTTCAACAGACGTTGATGAGTGCATCAACAATCCATGCCAACATAACTGCATCAACACACATGGCAGTTACACATGCAAATGCAATTCTTGCTACACCAAGCTGGGTACACAATGTGACTTAAGGCAGTGTAAGATCAATAACCACTGTCACGCGTATGGTACAGTTAACCCTAGCAATCACTGTCAGGTAACATTTCTATTACTGTATAACTTTTTATACGTTTTGTTCGTCGGATAGAGGGAGAGAAATGTAATTTGTTAACGTGGGATAACATCTTGATAAATTCTAAAAGCTACAAGGAAAACTTATGAGGTCCACAAGGGAAGATTAAATTGTTATTTTTTCACTAAAAGGTCAACACAGGTCAAGACTACCAGACGTTACATAGTAAAGAATACAGTTTCACTAACAACTCCTGAAAATGCCT